TGCATTCTGTGTGATTTTTACCAACTCATCTGCTGTGCCAAGCAACTGCAAACTCGCCAGTGCTCGGTCGGATTGCGCCATAGTACTTTCTGTCATTGACTTCGACTGTTGCCACCATTCGCTGCGTGTATCATACCGCCCTAATGTCGGTCTCTTTGTGTGGCGCAATGCAGGAGGAGTGCTGTTGGCGAGGGCCATTGGAGTGGTCTGGTGCGCGTAAGAAGTGCCGGTAGATGTACTGGAATAGACTGGTAAAAGCAGTGCGAGAAGCAGGAACAGTAGTCGGAACCTTAGAATATGTACAAGAAGGAGGAAAGGCCCGTCACTTACGTCTCGTTTTTCTTCTGTGGCGATTTTGACCGGCTTAGCTGACCCTGATCCAGATTTCTTCATTATTCCCGGCTGAAATTAGAAGGCAGCTGAATTTTCTGGATGTGGCTGGTTGAACAGTCATTTTCCTAATTTTCTAATTTTCAGCTGGCTGCTGTAAATCAAGAATGCATGCAGTTCCCATAAAAACTGCTATTCACATATCACAGGCAGAACAGTTTAACTGCTTGTATCTGCCATTGCTAGGTTTAGTTCGCCGAAAGGGATGCAAGTCGAAAAGGCTTTTGGGGATTTGCGACCGGCCAAAATGAATTTGTGTAGAAAGCAACTAAGGCATCAGCTCACTGGTTGTGCACGATGAATTTGTGTAGAACCAGTGAGCTAACGCCTTAGCAAGTGAATAAATTCAGCAACGACGATAGTCTAGGGCTGTTCCGGAATTACGCGTCTCCTTTCAAATGTATGAGAAGCATAGATGAATGCTGCTTAGTGTACCCACCTTTTTGTTTTCTCCAACTTCCATCATCTTGTGCTGTTGCCGCGCAGCGATTTCCCGCACATCAGATGCCATTGCAACAGAAGGCGGCTGCATTAGGGATGCGTTCAGCGCATCTTCCACCCATTGCTTCGCTGTTTGCGATACTGGACGTGCAACACACATGGCAACCTCATTTTTCTTCTGCAAAACTCTTGTGAGCGTACCGATGGCCCGCTGGCGACACCAGCAAACGGGGACAGACATTATACGCTAAAGACAGCTTCAGTTGGGCCTCAGATTTGTCAGCCAGGATCTCTTTCCAGAACAAGCCTTGGATTTTTTTTTTTTTTATTTGGAATGAGATTTTGCTCTTTGGTAAAAGCAGAAATTTTTTTAAATATTTTTTTTATTTGAACAGTTGAATCAGTGAGAAAATCAGTTCTTATAAG